ACGGGATGGAGCGGGGACGGGATGGGATGGAGCGGGATGGGACCGGGATGGAGCGGGGATGGAGCGGGGATGGGAGCGGGGACGGGATGGGAGCGGGGATGGAGAGGGATTGGGACTGGGGACGGGACCGGAGCGGGGATGGAGCGGGATCAGGGATGGAGCAGGGATGGGACCGGGGATGGAGCGGGATGGAAGCGGGGATGAGACTGGGACCGTGGACAGGACCGGGAGAGGGAGCGGGGATGGAGCCGGGAGAGGAGCAGGAGCGGGGACGGGACCGGGAAAAGGAGCGGGCTTAGAGCGGGAGCGGGGATGGAGCCGGGAACGGCACCGGGAAGGGATCGGGGACCGGGCACTGAGTGGGGAACAGCACCGGGGATGAGACCCGCACCAGGGATGGGATCGGGATGGAACCGGGGACCGGGGATGGGAGCCGGGATCGACCCGGGAATGGCACCGGGAAGGGACCGGGAAGGGACCGGGGATGACTCGGGGCTGGCAGCAGCCACCGGCGTCAGGCAGGGACGGGAGCCGCTGTCGGGAGCGGGGACCGGGCTGGGAGCAGGACAGGGACGGGGACGGGGACCGGGACCGGGGCCGTTCAGCACCGCGGGCAGGGAGCGGGGCCGGTGCAGCACCGCGGAGAGCGGCCGGAGGTTCCCGTTCAGCACCGCGGAGAGCGGCGGGGACCGGGCGGGGCAGCGGGACGGGGACCGGGGTCGGTGACAGGGACCGGGATCGGTGACAGGGACCGGGATCGGGGATAGGGACCGGGGACAGGGACCGGGATCGGGGACCGAGATCCGGGATCGGGATCGGTGACAGGGATAGGGACTGGGGATAGGGACCGGGATCGGGAACAGGGACCGGGATTGGTGACAGGGATCGGGAATTGGTGACAGGGACCGGGATCGGTGACAGGGACCGGGATCGGGGACCGAGATCCGGGATCGGGATCGGTGACAGGGATCGGGGATAGGGACTGGGACCGGGAATCGGGATCGGGAACAGGGACCGGGATTAGTGACAGGGACCGCGGCTGGGATAGAGGAACCGGGACAGGGACAGGGACAGGGATGGGACAGGGATGGGGACAGGGACAGGGACAGGGACAAGAACCGGGACCGGGAGAGGGACAGGGACAGGAACCGGAGCCGGCTGCACACGGGGAGGGCTCCGGCTGCCAGCGGCGGCTCCGTGGCTGAGCTGTCCCCGCGTGTCCCCACGCCAGGCCCGAGCCGGGGGGCGCCCCTGGAGCTGCTGGGGGGAGCGGAGCTCGCCGACCTGGTGGCCTCGCTGCCCGGCTTCCTGCTGGCCGTGACCCGCGAGGGGAAGCTGGTCGGGGTCACCGACAACGTGGCGCAGCACCTGGGCCACTCCATGGTGAGCAGCCGGCGGCGGGCGGGGGTCCCGGGGGGCGCTGGGGGTCCCGGGGGCTCACCCCGGCCTCCCTCCCTGCCCCCCCCCAGGTGGATCTGGTGGCACAAGGGGACAGCATCTACGACCTGCTGGACCCCGCCGATCACCCCCTGGTGCGGCACCAGCTGAGCCTGCCCGGGCCCCCCCAGGCAGGTGGGTGGGGGTCCTGGGGGGGACAGAGGGACAGACAGAGGGACGGACAGAGGGATGGACAGAGGGATGGACAGAGGGATTGACAGAGGGACGGGCAGCAGCGCAGAGGGGCAGACAGAAGGAGAAAGTGGTGGACAGAAGGACAGAGGGACGGACAGAAGGACAGAGGGACAGACAGAGGGATGGACAGAAGGACAGACGGACGGACGGACGGACAGAGGGACGGACAGAAGGATGGACAGAGGGATGGACAGAGGGACAGACAGAAGGACAGAAGGACGGACAGAGGGACGGACAGACGGACGGGCCGCAGCACAGCGCGCCCCCCAGAGCGCCTCTTCCGCTGCCGCTTCACCACGTCGCGCGCCTCGCGCCGCCCCAGCGCCGGCCGCAAGCTGGTGCTGCTGCGGGGGCGCTTCCAGGAGCCCCCCGGGCCCCCCGGCGCCGCCCCCGCGCTCTTCGTGGCCTTCTGCGCCCCCCTGGACCCCCCGCCCTGGCCCTGCCCCGACTGCCTCCTGCTGCCCGCCTTCCAGAGCCGCCACGCCCGCGACCTCGCCCTGCTCGACGTCTCGGACAGGTGGGGGCTCACCCGGGGGCTCACCCGGGCTGGGGGGGGTGGGGGTCCCGCGCGGGTGGTCAGCGAGTGACCCCGGCCCGGTGTCCGCAGCGTCCTGGTGCACCTGGGCTACGGCCGGGCCGAGCTGCTGGGGCGCTCCTGGTACCGCCTGCTGCACCCCGAGGACCTGGGGCACGTGGCCCGCCAGCACCTGCGCCTCGGTCAGTGTCACCGGCTGTCACCGGCTGTCCCGGGTGTCCCCTGGGTGTCCCGGGTGTTCCTGGGTGTTCCTGGGTGTCCCCTGGGTGTCCCTGGGTGTCCCGGGAGTCACCGGGTGTTCCTGGGTGTCCCCTGGGTGTCCCTCGGTGTCCCGGGTGTTCCTGGGTGTCCCTGTCCCCTCCCCTGTCATTCCCGGGGTCCCTCAGTTCCCTCTGGGTGTCCCCAGGGTCTCCTGGGTGTCCCCCCCTGCTGTGGCTTTGTCCCCTCGGTGTCCCCTGGGGATGCCCCCCCCCCATCCCAGTCCCCACTGACCATCCCAGTTCCCACTGACCATCCCAGTCCCTACTGACCATTCCCTGACCCCACTGACCATCCCTGACCCCACTGACCCTCCCTGACCCCACTGACCGTCCCTGACTGTCCCAGTCCCCGCTGACCGCCCCGTGTCCCCTCAGCCGGCGCGGGGCCGGAGGCTCGAGGCGAGGTGGTCACTCGGCTGCAGCGCAAGGACGGCCTGGGCTGGACGTGGGTCTACGCCCGCCTGCGGCCGGAGGGGCCGGCCCTGCTAGCCCACAACTTCATCATCAGGTCAGTGGCCAGCGGTCAGCGCCCAGCGGTCACCGCCCAGCGCCAAGGGGGTCTCGGCCACCCCTGGGGACCCCCAGGTGGCCGCAGCCCCCGCTCGGACACAACACCGGCCTCGGACACAGCTCTGGACTCGGACAGAACCCCGGCCTTGGACAAAACGCCGGCCTTGGACAAAACTCTGGCCTCGGACAAAACCCCGGCCTTGGACACAACGCCGGCCTCGGACAGAACCCTGGAATGGGACACAACTCCGGCCTTGGGCACAGCTCTGGCCTCGGACAGAATCCTGGCCTTGGACACAACGCCAGCCTTGGACAAAGCTCCGGCCTCGGACACAACTCCGGCCTCGGACACAGCTCTGGACTTGGACAAAACCCCGGCCTTGGACAAAGCCCCGGCCTCGGACACAACGCCGGCCTCGCCGTCGGCTCCGGCCTGGGCTCCGCCGTGGGCCTGGCGGCCGGAGCGGCGCTGGGCCCCGAGCTGGACATTGGCCTGGGCGTGGACGTGGTCCCCGCGGCCGGGCCGGGCCTGGGCTCCGTCCCCGGGCTGGGCTCGGCGCTCGGCTTCGCCGTGGGAGCCGCGCTCGGGGCCTGCCCCGTCCCCAGGGTCTCCTGGGTGTGTCACCCTCAATGTCCCCGACGCGGGGGACCGAGGCACGATGTGGCTTGATGTCCCCGGAGTCTCCAATGTCCCAAATGTCCCCAGTGATGTCCCCAAAAATGTCCCCAATGATGTCCCAAATAATGTCCCCAACAATGTCCCCAACAATGTCCTCAATGTCCCCAATGATGTCCCCAGTGATGTCCCCAACGATGTCCCCAATGTCCCCAACGTCCCCCACACCCTCCAAGGGACATCCTGGCCTGATGTCCCCAACGTCCCCAACCTGAGGGGCTGAGACACGCCGTGACTCGGAGACCCCGATGTCCCCAATGTCCCCAACCATGTCCCCAACCGTGTCCCCAACAATGTCCCCAATGTCCCCAACCGTGCCCCCAACGCCCCGGCCCCGCACGTCGCAGCGCGATGTCCCCGATGTCACCGAGCCCGAGGCGCCGGCACCGTCCCAGCTCGATGTCCCCAAGGTCCCCGAGGGATGCGGGACCCGCCCGTCACCGCGTCGAGGACTGAGACCCGCCGTGTCCCCGGTGTCCCCAAACCCACGGACTGAGCCTGTCGTGACCCAACGTCCCCAATGTCCCCGACGTCCCCGGCCGAGGGACGGCCACCCCGTGATGTCCCCGATGTCCCCACGATGTCCCCGATGTCCCCCCGATGTCCCCTCGATGTCCCCCCGATGTCCCTACGATGTCCCCCCGATGTCCCCACGATGTCCCCCCGGCAATAAAAGTGTCCCCCGTGGTCCCCGTGCCTGCGGCGGCTCCTTCCTGGGGACACTGGGGAGGGGGGAGGGTTTGGGGGGGATTTGGGGGAATTTTGGCCCCCCCCGGGGGGTCCTGGACGCCTCGGGGTCCTTCCGGGTGTACTGGGACGTGCTGGGAGCCCCCCCGGGCTGGGCCCGCGACCCCCGCCCCGAGCTGGTGCTGGCCACGCACGGCAGCCCCGGGCGGGCGGCGGCGGCGCTGGGGGGGTCCTGGGGGGGCCCCCTGTCCCTGGCGGTTTTTGGGGAGCCTCGCGGGGGGCTGCAGCAGCTGATGGAGGTTCTGGGGGGGCCCTGCCGCGCTCTGCGGGGCCGCCTCAGGCTGCAGGTGGTGCAGGGGGCGGCGGGACCCCCACCCAAATTCCCCGCCCGCACGCAGCCGCCAGCGGGAGCCCCCCGAAAAACCGGGGGGTGTCGGGGGGCTCTGGCCAGGCTGGCGGCCGCCGACCCCCCCAGTTACACTTTGGGGGTGCCGTACCCCGGGAATCTGCTGAGGAACGTGGCCTGGGAAGGGGCGGCCGGGGGGGGCCCCGGCGCGGGACCCCCGCCCAAATTGGGGGGGCGCTTCGTGCTGATGGTGGACGCGGACGTGGTGCCGAGCCCGGGGCTGCGCGAGGGGTTCCTGCAGCTGCTGCGGGACGGGGGGCTGGACCCCCGGAACTGGGGGGGACAGGACCCCCAAAACTGGGGGGGACAGGGGAGACAGGACCCCCGAAACTGGGGGGGACAGGGGGGGATGGAGCCCCGGAACTGGGAGGGACAGGGAGGACAGGACCCCCAAAACTGGGGAGGTCAGGACCCCCGAAACTGGGGGGGACAGGGGGGGATGGAGCCCCGGAACTGGGAGGGACAGGGAGGACAGGACCCCCAAAACCGGGGGGGACAGGGGGGGCTGCACCCCCAAAACCGGGGGGGACAGGATCCCCAAAACTGGGGAGGACAGGACCCCCAAAACTGGGGGGGACAGGGGACACTGGGGGACCCCAAAGCTCCGGGGGCTCAGAGGGATTTGGAGGCTCAGGGGGATTTGGGGAACCCCAAAATTTTGGGGGCTCCCAGTAGGCTGGGGGTCCCCAATGCTCTGGGGGTCCCCAATGCTCTGGGAGTCCCCAATGTCCAAAAGAACCCCAAAAGTTTATTGGACCCCAAAGGGGGTGTCCAGGCCCTGAGTGACCCCAAAACCCTGAGTGACCCCCATGCCCTGAGTGACCCCAAGGCTCTGAGTGACCCCAACCCCCAGAGTGACCACAATGCCCTGAGTGACCACAACGCTCTCAATGACCCCAACCCCCTGAGTGACCCCAATGTCCAGAGTGACCCCAACACCCTGAATGACCCCAAAACCCAGAGTGACCCCAATGTCCAGAGTGACCCCAACGCCCTGAGTGACCCCAAAGCTCTGAGTGACCCCAACACCCAGAGTGACCACAATGCCCTGAGTGACCACAACGCTCTCAATGACCCCAAAGCCCAGAATGACCCCAACGCCCTGAGTGACCCCAAAACCCCGAGCGCCCCCCCCTCCTCGGCCCCCCCCTGGGCTCGGGCTCTCTTCGTGCTGCCGGCCTTCGAGCTGCGGGGGTCCCGCGCCCCCCCGGCCTCCAAGGCGGAGCTGCTGCGGCTGTGGGGGGTGGGCGAGGCCCGCCCGTTCTACGGGGCGCTGTGCCCCCGCTGCCAGGCGCCCACCGCCTTCGGCCGCTGGCGGGCGCTGCCCCCCGCCCCCCCTGGGGGGTCTGGGGGTCCCGTTGTGACCCCCGCGCCCCCAGGCCTGCGAGCTGCACGTGGCCGGGTTCCGCTTCGCCGTGCTGGACGGGGCCTTCGTCACCCACCGGGGCTGGAAGGAGCCGGGCCGGTTCCACCGCGGCCGCGAGGCCGAGCTGGGCCAGAACCGGCGCCGCTACCGCGACTTCCGGCGGGGGCTGAGGCTGCGGTACCCGGGGAGCGCCCGCCGCTGCTGAGACACCTGGGACACACCTGGGACACACCTGGGACAGCTGGGACACACCTGGGACACCTGGGACACACCTGGGAACCTCCCAATGGACACCTGGGGACACTTGGGACAGCTGCGGACACCAGGGAACCTCCCAACGGACACCTGGGACAGCGGGGACACACCTGAGACACACCTGGGACAGCTGGGCCAGAGCTGGGCCGGAACGAGGGGCTCAAACCGTGATACCCAGGGAGCGCCCGCTGCTGCTGAGACACCTGGGACACCTGGGAACCTCCCAATGGACACGTGGGACACACCTGAGACACACCTGGGACACACCTGGGGACAGCTGGGAGCCCCGCAATGGACACGTGAAGGACCTGCTGTGAACACCTGGGGACACCTGGCACAGCTGGGGACCCGCCGGGACAGCGGGGGACACACCTGGGACACACCTGGGACACACCTGGGACACCTGGGGACCTTCAAATGGACATGTGGGGTCACCTGGCACACCTGGGGACCCTCCCTGGACACCTGGGTGCCCCCCGGACGTGGGGGTGACCGTCCCTCAGTAAATTCGGCCGCCTACCCATGATGCCTCGGTGCGGGTGACGTCATGGGGGCGGGGCGAGCAGCTGCCTCCGGTACGGACCAGTAACGCCCGGGGCACGAGGCGGAGACCCCGCCCGAGTTGTTTGTCACGGTAAACTACAGCTCCCAGCATGCAGCGGGCGCCAACATGGCCGAACTTCCGCCCTTTTTTAAAAAAAACCGACAGCTCCCAGGATGCATCGGGTGCCAACATGGCCGCCATGCAACTTCCGGTTTTACCTTTGAATTTGAACTACAGTTCCCATCATGCATCAGAAGCACGTGGCCGGAAGTGATTGTCATTTGCGTGACTACAGCTCCCGTCGTGCACCAGGGCGAACATGGCCGACTTCCGGTCTCGCCTCGCCCTCAACAGGGCGGGAAGGCGCAGCAGCGCTCCCTGGCGGGCGGGAGGACCAAATTGGGGGGGTGGTTTTTAAGGAGGGGGAGGGGCAGAA